ATCTCAGCTCTGCAGACTTTACAGTGAGAGCTGGAGGTTCGTAGGGGACACCACTGACAGGTGTTGAGAATGGTCCCCCAACTAGAGTCTGTAGAATGTATCGTCGATGTAGAACTTCGTAGTTAGTATTACAAGCATACCAGAAATCTATAAGAATTTACCAGCAGTCCAGATTTCTGATCGGAGGGCAAGACTGAACACCTGTACGCGGTGTCCCCTACGAATCTAGGAGTGAAATATTCTCCCGGAGCCAAGTTCAGTCTAATTTCGCAATATCGCAGAAGTTGGCCCACGAGGCAAAAATCCAAATTACTCCTCCACGTCGTTATTTCGCTCCCAACGAGTTTGAATCCTATCTTCGTCTCATCGAGTCTACAAGTACGACCAAGTACATCCTCATTTCAATGACCACACCGCTCTTCGACCTTCTCTGGCCTCAGCTGGTCACCAAATACACGCCCACGCCGATATTTACACCCGACGGAGGAAGCAATGCGTGGCGCACAAATCTGGGAGACAGTTCTTTGGGATGGACGTGAGAGGGATCAGGACAAGTTTACAAGATGATGCAGAAGAGCGACACGTTTTCGACGGGCGTGAAATTTCGAATCTTTGCAAGAGTTTTACGAATTGAGCTTTGTGCGCGCCAAGACTTCGCTTGCGAGAGTGCAGCTGACACTATAAAAACGAGCAAACTATGGAAGGTGTTGTGGTCCGCCTCCTGGTGGTGTTCTCCGGTATAGTTTGAGTAGCCTGGGCACCTACTCCACTTGGAAAGGAGACGTCTAAGACCACATTCCGCGCGGAGAAAAGTTATTGGATGATGGAGGCATGTCTGGATAACTCAGGGTTTTTGAGTCGTTCCCCTGGGTGGGTATTCACGGATGAGGGTTGACTTGGGGTGAAGAAAAAGCCGGTATAACTTCGCAGTGGTACTTGCAAATGAAATCTGAGGCATGAGTGCTCTTCCTTTACGTTGAATCATCCATTCTGTACTTTTCTTTGATATTGTTTTGTTTATTCTGTCCTAAGCTAAAGCTATGTTTTCCACATTGGGTCAATGACAGGCGGAGCCGGCAGGGTTTCCTGTAATCTTTCCTACAGCCTAACTCGTTCCAACCTCGTGAATCGCTGCCAAAAGTGCAGCTGATTAGACAGAAACGAAAAATCAAGAAAATCAAAACAACTCCGAAAGAACAGAAGATGCCTCCAAAATGGACACAGTCAATGTGCTCCTCAACCATTCCGTCGTCCGTCACACCTTCCAAATGACAAATCTACTTTATCTCCGCTGAGGGCAGTAGATGAGTTAGCAGGCACCTTTGGTCCAGCCGGTATCCTGCTAATAGTTAGTAGATGCCCCAGAAGGGGACATCGTCGAGGTTGCTGTGTCCTCAAACTTCTTCTTCAGATCCCAGCACTCCATACCTGTTGCCTCGGCCATTGAGACATCCTTCGCCGCGGCGACGATCGCCTCTTCGGACTTTTTTGCTACGGTTCTGGCTCGTGCCACCTTCGCGAACTTCCCTTGCTCGAGGTGGCGTATCTACGCGAGCTGCTCTTTTGTCACCGGTCCAGACTTTCTGGGTCTGCCTTGGCAGTCCCGAGAATCCGATCGATGGGGCCCCCACAGTTTCGACACTTTGTGAGGGCCCTGCACTCGACTTCCGAGTGCATATTTGATCCACAGTTCCAGCAGGCTGGAGCGCGGGAGCAACCACGAGTGGCGTGGAAGCCCAAACAGCGTTTACACTGTTCAATTTGTCGACAAGGTATGTGTATGGTAGCCCTACTAGACTCGTCGAAGAGGCGGAAGCCCGCACGTGGGGCGACTTCCCGGTCGAAAAGGGCATGCCAGTTTCGGTGCGGTGCCCCAGGTCGACACGTCCCATGAGGTCGGACGTGTATTGGTCTCGCGCCGGTCATAACGGCGACCTTGTCGAAGACCCACTCAGAATCGACCGCCATGGGTCCTCTCTCTGTGATTATACTTACAGGTACGTTGGGTATCTGTAATGCTACAAGATCTGAAGATGCCTCGAGTTTGGCGCTTTTACTCGCCAGCTTCGAAGAGCTATCTAGCATCTCTTGTCGTGTTTTTTCGTCCTTTGCTAGCATAGCAAAGCCAGTCCTCACTCGATGAAGCGAGGTTATTTTATGGTGAAAGAAAAGGAATCTCATCTCCAATTTGCTTCTCACGCAACTTATGGACAGTTTTCGTCACGGGTGGCCCTTTTCAAGACGATGGAACAGTCGCTTGTCGACTTTCGCCTTGGGGGTTTCTTTTTGGTGGGCTTTGGCCGCAGGTCGCGGCATAGCCTTGGCAGTAGGGACTGATTTTTGTCGCAGTCCGTGTCTGGCCACCGTGGCCCAGGTGCTTTTGACGGGCAGAGCTGGGACGGCGGGGAGGGCTTTTTCCTTCCCTTCTATTTGAGACCTTGCTCATCTCCGCGCATTTCGGAGAATGGACAAGGCCAGGTACTTGTTCGAGAGCCCTCGGGTGGACTCTCGTGTTGTCCAACTTGGCGTTGGGATGCTTTTTTCGAACAGGTGGCATGGTGAAGATGCCAGTGACTCGATCACAATGATTTGATAGAATGCGACGAGCGCGAGAGGGAGGGAGAGGGGGAAAAGGTGAAGATTCGAAAATTCGAATTACAAAAAAATCGTCTTTGATATTGTGTCATACCTAGATAGCTGCATACGCAATTAAAATCCGATGCGAAAAAAGATTTCTGATCATATCTCCCTTCAGTAGTTATAAATTACTTCATATTGAGAACAATTATTGAGCTTCTGTTTACGGTGTCCTCCACGAACTTGGGAGTGAAATATTCTACCAGAGCCAAGTTCTGTCAAAGTTTCTTACACCGAAGAAATTGTCCCACAAAGCATTAATAAAAGGCTTACTACAAGTTATAGTCTTCACACTCGAAAAATTTCATGACCAAGGTTTCATCAAGAGTTCAAGATCTAGCATATCCTCATTTCTGTGACCACATCTCTCGTCCAATCAGTCTCTGGTCTCCAGACGTACGTCCCGACGATGTTTGATGACAGCAGGGGAAACAAGTTGTAGTAAACGAATCGTCGGATTTTTGGGTTTTACTTGAAAGATGATGGAACGGATGGCAAGGTCTCAAGGCGAGGTTAGGACAGTGTTCCACAGGGTGCGTATGTGGTCTAACGAAGATCTAGGTGGTAGATAAAGGTGATGAGTGGGTCGAAGGGATGACTGGTCTTCTCTAGGAAGAGACAAATAGGTAGATAGTAGCAATAGAGGCTACACGTGGGTCTTGCTGATAAAGAGCTTGTAATAGATAAATGGTCTTCCCGAAGAAGAGATGGGTAAACAAATGTATTGTTAAGGTAATTGAAGAAGACGTTGCGTGGAGAATAATGCTTCTTCACGCCGAGTATTTATATACATAAAATTACTAAATAGGTCGTAGCACACAGCCCCTATGCCCAACAATCTACTACACATCACCTAATGAAACCAGCCAATTCCTATCAGTCTTCATTGCTGGTTTTAGAAGTGCATTGAACTATTATTTGTGTTTTAACTTAGCCGTCCGCATGGCGTTTCATAATACGCTATGCCACAATGATCCATGAAACAAGGTGATGCGAACGGCGAACAGGATCTTGGAAAGGGCGATGAATTGGATTTAGGAAAGTATTTTTTTGAACAGTCCACCTCACGACCTAGTTGAGAAGCGTGCATTTGACACGCACCGCACCACCATGGTTGAGTGGTGCAGTGTTACATCTTCACCAGTCTCCAAAGTAAATTCTGCGCAGCTTGGATAAATATCCCGTTGGAAACAAGAGATCGCTTGCTCGAGTCCTGCAAGACACAACCACTTTTCTCGCTGCGCTGGCTTACATGCATGAAGGATGAATGCTTGGATAGACAAAGGTTTTGTGTTCTCCTTTGTGAGCGCTTAAGGAGGAGGGTTGACATTTTGCGTAGGCAAACATACCTCATTTTGGTATTTCCGAATAAAATTCAGAACTTGAGTGTCTGACATATAGTGTTTTTACGTTAACCAGAAACTGATCATGTATCACAGCTCTGCAGATGTCTAAGAACATTTTTTAGAACCAGAGGGTATTCAAGTCTGGGGATTGAGAATTTGTGAATGTAAACCAACAACTCGAAACAGTTGCTTATGATACTTTCGAGGGATGGCACTATAGTTTGTGATTGCTTGTGAGGAGATATGGAGGTTTTATTTAATACATGTTACCCTAGCATGCAAGTGATAGTTGCGTGTTATGCATGATCAAAGACAATCACCTGTTGATTTTCACTTCACAAGTTGAACATTAAGGTTCTTTGCGACATGTGTTCAAAACAAGCCATCACAAAGGTGACCGAAGGTAAGCCTTTTTAACTAAATAAAGTATAGTGGATAAGTGATTCATGAGTAGAAATTGTGTGCGAAGAGTGTTCGACTGTAGTTATAAAGTATCTGGAATATTGTTAGCTGTTTGGCACTATTATTGACAATCTTTTGCGTCTAGTACAGCAAGTTCAGATAAAATTGTAATGTGTTGGTAGCTAATCATTGAAATTGTAACTAATAATTGCAGAAGTTTTCTTCTATTCATCATTGTCGAAATTTAATATATTCATAGTAAAGGTACTTACATTATTACAGGCATATATTCAGATGAAGACTCACGAATCATTCAAAACGTCGCAACATTTCATTGGAATGAAGGAAAGGAGTCATATTCTGTTTAATAGGAATTCTTATTATGAAGCTGATTTCGAGTAGTGACGTCCGTAAGGTCGACCTTAAATAACGTGGGAACGGTATAAAAATTTGCGCTAGGTTTAATAATATTCCGCCAGTCTTAGGGGTAATTTTGATCCATATACCTATTTCCGTAAAGAGGATATTTACAAGGTCGTGGCGAAGAAATAGCGCCAATGTTGCCGCAACGTATACTGTACATCGCATACATAGCGGCCTGAACTCTCCCCCACAATGAGGTCTGAGTCGCCAGCTCAATCGGGCTCCCCCCTCTCAACCCTTTCATCAGATATCTTCGTCTTGGAAGCAGACCAAACCACGAACATGCCCCCTGCGAAGCGACAAAAGCTGGGCGACACTTCGGACTCGCTCACTCCTCCTAAACTACATGATGACGCCTCGATCTCTTCTGATAGTTCGGGAGATATACCACACTCACCTAGCCATCAGAGAGGAGAAGAAGATGAAATTCACGAGCAAGTCACTATTTGTCGCTGGGCAGGTTGCAACGCTGGAAATATGCTAAATATGGACAACCTCGTTAATCATATTCACGAAGATCATGTCGAGACCAAAAGTAAGAAGTATATCTGTGAATGGAATGACTGTGGAAGGAAGAGTATGCCACATGCGAGTGCTTACGCCTTGAAGGCCCACATGAGAAGTCACACAAAGGAGAAGCCATTTTACTGCGAGTTACCTGGTAAGAATTTATTCTCCACATAATTGAGAATTAGAACTAACATTACACTCTCAAAGAGTGTGACAGATCCTTTACACGCTCTGATGCGCTTCAGAAACATTATAGAACAGTCCATGAGACAGAAGCCCTGAGGCCATCAGATCCAATACCAAAATCAATGCAAGCAGCAAACAAACTTTCAAGACAAAAGTCGAATTTTAATGATCCTCAACCAAATCTAGAGGGACACCCCCCGGATCTTGTTAACTATGCTCATGATCTTTCAGAATCCTGGTCATCATCCTACCCACCAGAGCTTGGTTTTACGCCAGAAGAAGAGGCACGAGGACCTAGAAACCTGTATAGATTATTGCGAAGACAAGTTTATTGGGCAGAAGCAGAAGCAGATTCATTAAAAAGATCCTGTGAAGTCTTAGAGGAACTAAGGAAGAAGGAATGGCTAGATAAAGAGGTTTTGCTCGACCAAACATTAAAAACGGATCTCGACTGGCAAGAGAGGCGTAGAATCGTGCTTGCCCAACACTCAGATCTACAACTCGGAGGAGCTAAAGTCATTCCAGAGCAGAATAGAAGTAAAATATTTCCGCACGATCATTCATCTCCAGTACCTATGGCGTCGATAAAGGGTCAACCGGATGAGTGTGAAGCAGCAACGGTTCTGGCATCTATTCAAAAATCATGATTTATGTCCAAAACTTGACGTCTGATTTAAAAGTAAATTGTGACTCTATCACGAAACATGGAATCTCTTGGGTCAATAGTTATAACGTGGCTTCGAGACTCTATTCATGGAAATTATGACTGTTACCTTACACTCGTCCCGATTTGCAATTATTTCATGTCAACATAAAACGTCCTGCGATGCGTTTCAAAGCCTTTGCTGTCTTCTGGTCTACTGTCGATTTATTGTTTAAACCCTAAGTTACGTAGAGCTGATTACTGGTGGTCTAGTAAAATATACGAAATAACTATTACCAGGAAATATATAGCCCTCACAAAACTTGTCAACTTTGGAGCAAGTGAAGGCCTTATCCCGACATTTTCACATGCCTATTGGAAGCGTTTCCGACGGTTTTCTATTTCCTATTTTCGCACTCACAATCGAAATTCAAAGAGAAATGCACAGCAGCGGTCTCTTCATCATTTATTGTGTAATCAGCTATCTAGCTACGACACATGATCAGTGTCTTGTGTACTTATTGGATGACTCTAGAAAAGCCTATAATCCAAAGGTCATTCGCAAAAACCCCGATGGGGTATGTTTGTTAATAAAAAACTGTCGACTCTTCTCCACTAGCATCTATCAAAGGGAGGTTTCACAACTTTTGATTATCGGAGCATGCATTTTTCATGGATATACTTGAGTACTACAGAAAATATGGTCGAGCCTTGCTAGATTCGAATCAACGACCTCCAGATACAATTAAAGTAGGTCTGCAAGCTATCTAGACTCAACTTTAGATATCATCCCAGATGACCTAAAATTGAATCATCCTTTCGGATTATGTATGTAGTGTTACTTCCACTTTCGCAGATGAACTTGGGGTGCGCACTACTTTCTTCAACGTGAAAACTACATCCCTATCATCGAAATTCCACCCCCCCCTGAGATTTAATACGTCTCTGGCATCACCTCGCTCATATGCCCTGACATATTTCGGCCTCATCCCATAAGGTCCACCACACCAGATCATCGAGACGCGATCTAGGTGCTCTTCCATACATCTATATATTCATTGGCGTACACTTGGATGCTAGCTCAGACCAGAGAATGAGCTGAAGTTTGTATTCGCTAAAAATACAGCTTCCTAGGTCCTCGTCATAGTCGTGACAGAAGCAACTTAAAGATGCTGAGGCGGGAAGAAGTATGATCCAATCGATTACTCCAATGGAAATCAAGAACCAACATGAAACTAAAATTCTGAGTTTATATCATAATCGGCATCCTGTTGATTACCAGTACGTCCTAATATTTATCAAGACCAGCTACACTCCCTTAATCACGTTATATGATTGCCGGCCATTTTAAATCTTACAGCCATACTTGACATGATGTTTTATTATAGCATGTTTTCATTGAGATTCAAGTTCTGGTGTAGCTAGAAGTCTTCAATCCTCATATATTTGGTCTGCATCTTCTCAATTGCTTTTTTCTAACTGACAATTGATATAAGGAGAAAGATCCCTTATGATCCATTAAAGACACCGCTGTCTAATGAAAAAAAGGACACCGGTAAGATATTAGATGCCGAGACAGTGAGTCGAGGAAAATCCGGGGACACTTCGACTATGAATAACTTGGATTAAAGGTGGAGTATGCGGTGTCCTGGTTATATAGATGAAACGAGATTCTTGCATATATCTCTAATAAATCTGATCTAGCCTAAACTTACTCGAGCTGAAGCACAACAAAGAGTCAGGAGAGTGCCAGTTGGTTATCACTTAGAAATTCAATAAAATTAGCTCCCAAGACCACGAGAAACTTACATAGGACTGTAGGAGTCCTAAACTCCAAAATAGAGATGCTAACAGTTTAAACTGAGATAAAAAAATCTATATTGCGAAAGATTCTTAGGATCACTTCAATAACGCATAAAGCTACAATGAGACCATCAACACTGAGCTTTTGTGTCCCGATAATGAGTCAAATTGGGATATAATCGCTAGTCAATACTAAGTCAAAGTAGTAATAACCAATGGATGAATAGCATGATCTTCGATACTATTTTCACGGATCCATAATCAGAATTTTAATACTTATGTTAATTCGTGATGAGATGAGGGTGTGGTTAATTAAAACCATCAAATTATGAATAGCTTCCCCAAATACAATTAGTCATATAAAAAGTCGTGTGAGGATATACAAGAGTGTCATGAAGAGAAGAACAAGAACACGGTGATTAATGCGAAGATATTGGCAAGAATTGATTACGATTAGTTCCGGCTGGCAAATGCTTCCACTCTTGTATATGAAAGGTCAGCGTGAGAGAGATTTACTCCTCACGCGACGTCTTCTTTACTAACCCTCTACAACACAATTATTTACCCATCTCTTCTTCGGGAAGACCATCTATTCATTTTCTTGCTCTTTATCAGCAAGACCCACGTGTAACCTCTACAGCAACTATTTGCCTATACATCTCTTCCTAGAGAAGACCTGTCATCCATTTGACCTATTTATTATCTTCTCTTACCACCTAGATCTTCACAAGGCTATACAACGCACCCCGTGGAACACTGTCAAACCCTCATCATTGAGAACTATCGGAAGAGGAAAAATGGGTTTCTTGATATACATCGATGTAACCTATGTCTTTGGCCATGTTCCATCTCATGACTTCCTTCCAAACCCACCTTGAGGTGACTTTTACAGTGCGCGTGCAAGTTAATGTTCACTTCTCGCAAGTCCGTCACTTGTGAGCGACGGTTTCTGTTTGCGGTCTATCGACGCATTGTGACTCTTTCACAATCTTGTTCCCAATGTCTTAACTCGGTGCTCATGAGGGATAGTGGCTATGTACATAGATGGCACATGAGTTGCATCTATGCCTCTGGTGCTATACAGTCATTGCTTGAAGACATCTCAAAATATTTCCGACAAAGAGTATGTGGCTTTCAATGCTTCATTTGAGCATCTAAATAATGGTGATGGAAGTAGATCTGATGAATTGCTTGTTGAATTGTGCTTCCTGAAGGGAAGCGACAGGCGGCACAGATTGCTCGCAATCTATCATTATGCGCTATTACCATTAACAGAGTAGGAACTCCCCTCTCTCCTGAGTCTATAAGGCTGGACAGGCAACACATCGAGTTTATGTGTATTTATTCAAAAGTTGCTATATCCCAAAAAATGTCACCAACACCAGGAATACTCTCTCCGATTCTGCGGCGTATCATCGTCGCTTCAGGCACGAAGATGCAAACCTGGTTTGTAGCTGTGGGCTAGAAAAGACGCCCACCCACTTCACACGCTGTCGGAGATACAATATTCTGACGCGTAAACTTAGAAAAGATATGAGCTTAGATATTTTTACTAGGCAACTCCTCGGTCATAAAGAGTTAGAGAAGTTTAAAATTTTTGTATGGGTTACAGGCTGCTTCAGTAGACTGGACGCATCCTAGTTCTGGGCTGAATACAAGGACGGGTTTTAGGACAAATGCCAGGGCAAATACGCTGGCGGATGAGAGCTCAGGGTGAAGAATGCTGATTCAAAATCATAGATCTTATTAAAATATACGTACTTTGATCACTTGTATAACTTGATAAGAGACACTGCACAGCAAATGTAAGGCGTAGATGAATTAGGATTGAATTGATGTCCCACAGTAGTGATATGTGTTGGGTCTTATAGAAGTCCCCATCCACCAAACTGTGTTCCAATTATCTACTCTATTCTAAACGTGCCTCATTCCCTCGTATAACTGAGAAGCACTCTGTCAATGACTTGTGTCATCAAAGAATGACACCTCCTTCACTTGACAGATCGTCTCTACGACTCGTTGCTTACATTACTCGGTGAGTACTAGCTGACGCGTCTATTGTCCAGACAGTGCACGGCTCGTAACTAAGCGAGTCGTGTAATCCGATACTGGAGGTTCCACGTTCTATCTACTACGACATGATCTGTTTCTCTAAAAGATCTTTTGGTTATTTCTTTTCTTTTTCTTCGCTGCATTATTTATTTAACGAGCTAATGATTTATTAGCTCTAAATGGGTGTGAGCGAGCAGGGCTAGTCTAAAGGCTAAATCTCGGCCGGCTCCACCGGTCCTACATCTAAATAGATTGAAGGCTACGGCCTAGGACTTTAAACTAAATAAATAAATACCCTATCCGACTCTGCCCCCTCGCCCAGCCGGTGGATGTGTTCAGGAAGGATCTACACTCAGTTCGATGATTATACAACTAGGGTAAGTATTTTGACCAGCAGTTGTAGAACTAGTGGCTAAGCTGACTGTCGATATATCCCAAGTTGCAGTGATTTCACAGCTTTCAGGCGCAGGTTCACGAGGCGTAGCATGCGAGGAACTGAGGAAGTACGGCTCTTGTGGACGCGGAGGGATTTCTAGAGAAGTGGTAAAGGATATTGCGGGGGTCGTTCTAGGTAGATTAGCCGCAAGTGACTGTAGGTCACAGTGGGTAGCAGAGGACGAGAGTAAGATGTGATTAAAATTATGTGTTAAATTATTTAACTGTTGGTCAAACATAATTATTCTTGCACCTGAACAGAACGGAGTTATGGTTGTGATTATTGTTTACTTAATCACAACAATAAGATCTCCAAACGCCTCACCCAATATGCTCCTAAGGTATGAGTAGGTATGAGATGTTGAATATTCTAGGGATAGTGCAGAGGGTGGATAACGATTATCAGAGCTTGACGATATGATGAATAGCTTAGTTATATTCATCTACATATCACAGTAGTAGATAGGACTTATATACACATATTTGGTACCCGCTATACAGTACTTCACCGTCTATGTAGGAAGTACTACAATCTTAATTCCATGCTATACTATCCGTCATTACTCTATGCCATTGTATAGAGCTGCGCCTCAATAGTCGATTGTAATGATGGCCATGTAGGGCTGTGCAGTACTCTCATAAATTTGTTGTATCTGTTGGTAAAAACAGGAGTGATCACTTCTCTATTGTAGTAGTGGACTTGATTGTTGGTGTGAATTGTGTATGTCTGTTTCTCTCCCCTCTCTGTCTAGTATTACAAACAACTTGTCTAGGGATATGCTGACTAATCATTCAACTAAAACCAAGTGGCAATCATCCCAGTTGCAAACGCCAGTAACCTATCCCAATAAATATAACTACAAAGCTAACATTCCGACAGTATCCCTGGCACTTGGCAGAGATAAATTTAGAGTAAATGCAATAATCACATCACAACACTTATATACCCTGTACTAGTAGTTCCATATTAGCGTGTAGCGAGAGCTAGGTCGTAACATTAGGAGAGAGTGCTGAGAAGCAGTCGCAATACACGTTCCGCATTGTTAACTCAAGAATTTATCATATCTACTTCCAGTAGTCCTCCTATATCAATTGTCTAAGAGAATCATATTCTAATATTATGCAGCTATTCCTAAAGACAGGAAACAAAGCATGAAGATCTCAGTCTCAGAAATGAAAACTACTTAATTGTCCTCGCTAGGCAATAAAGCCTAGTGGGAGAGGACTTGTGAGGGGTGGTACTGGCTGAAGGAAACTGTGTGGGAGGTATGTAAGATGATATACTACTGATATTGGTAACCTTTTGTCTGTGGGCAGAGAGGACCTGCAAGTCTCATGTATTCTTAGACTGGGAGAGCACCATGTCATTTTAATAATAATATATAAAATGTAAAATGAGCTGGAAACTGAAATCACGTGGAAAAATTATAAGGTCTGAGGAATGGGGTGTTTGCTGGTGCCCGGGCCATGCAAGCATACTTGAACCATTGATATGTAGCAAGTGGTTTGTGAAAGCCAATTTTCGTATGTCATCTTTTCAAAAATTTCCGACATACAATGGTGTATACTTGGTCTAAATTCAAATTCTTTTAAGTGTCTTCCATCACTAATGTTATCCTCGAACTCCGTTAACCAAATTAGCTCCCTGCAAAATCGCAGTGCTCCCAATTTTCCCATTACCATCTTTTAGGTGGTCTCCGAATTTTTATTCCTAGTAGCGGTACCTAAATAATGTCAGCAGTTTTTTTAGTCAGTAGGTTTAGCTTACAAGTCTGGTTTGTATGGACCTTCGATATCAAGGCCGAGATATTCAGCTTGAACGTGAGTGAGCTTTGAAAGCTCAGCGTTGACGTGAGCTAAGTGAAGTAAAGCTACAGTTTCATCCAAAATCTTAGGAAGGACATATACACCAACTTCTAGCTTTTGGGTCTTGCCGAATTCAACGTATTTTTTGCCGAATACGGGGTCCTCGGCTTTGAATAGAAGAATTTGTGCTAGAACTTGGTTTGTGAAAGAGCATGACATGACGAAAGAAGAATGGCCGGTCGCGCATCCTAAGTTCACGAGGCGACCCTCAGCAAGAAGAATAATGTGGCGACCGTTTTTCATCAAGAATCGATCAACTTGTGGCTTGATATTTTGTACACTCTGTGCGTTGGCCTTTAACCAAGCAACATCAATTTCAATATCGAAGTGGCCGATATCTGTTTCCGTTAGATCTACTCGAGATATAATTTAGTAAACTTACTGCAGACGATTGCATCGTTAGGCATAGCTTCGAAATGCTTTCCAACCAAAATATCACGGCAACCTGTAGTCGTCACAAATATTTGAGCTTCACTAGCAGCTTTCTCCATTGTGGTGACTTGGAAACCGGATACAGCAGCCTGGAGGGCGTTAATCGGGTCAACCTCTGTGACCAAGACACGAGCACCCATTCCCTGGAGAGCCATAGCGCATCCTTTTCCTACATCACCGAAACCAGCGACAACAGCAATCTTTCCTGCGATCATGACATCGGTTGCGCGTTTGATTCCATCAATGAGCGACTCGCGGCAACCATATAAGTTGTCAAACTTAGACTTGGTGACGGAGTCATTGACGTTAACAGCAGGAACAAGGAGAGTTTTGTTTTTCAACATCTTGTAAAGATGGTGAACACCAGTAGTGGTCTCTTCAGATACACCAAAACATCCCTTGAGCATCTCTGGGTACTTCTTGTGAACAAGAGCTGTTAAGTCACCGCCGTCATCGAGAATTAAGTTGAGGGTGTTTCCATCTTTAAATGCCAACAATTGCTGTTCCAAGCACCACTGATATTCTTCTTCGGTTTCACCTTTCCACGCAAAGACAGGGATTCCTAGGCAATTAGTGGAAGCCAATGTCTGAGGTTTAGAATAAAATTACCAACAGCAGCAATTGCAGCGGCAGCATCTAATAGACGTTAGATTGTATCTCCAATTAGTGTACCAATTTTTTTAAAGTGATTGCTATTCTACTGCTTTTGAAAGGCGGCTAAGCACCAGATACGTTTTGGGGTACTTACGATCCTGAGTGCTAAAAATATTGCAAGATGACCAGGTCACCTCAGCACCTAGGGATGTGAGAGTCTCAATAAGCACGGCTGTTTGAATTGTCTGAGTGAATTGTTATCATAACTGAAGAGACATCATTTGGAAGACTAAGGTTAACAAACCATATGCAGACAGCCAGCAATGCGGGCACCCTTCAGAGGTTGGTCACCTGCGTATTTGGCCCGGGTGGCCATGAGACCCGGCATTTCATTCTCGGCGAGTTCTATTTCTTTGCGACCAAAGGCAGCAAGGGATAGATCTGCGACCTGGGATTACCGGAATTAGTTAGGGCTAGTAAATCATAAATCTTAATCTGAGGGATAATCTAACCTTGTACTTAATAGCTGGAGCAGACATGATGGTTATTCTGAGTGTTAATTGAAGGGATAAATTGGAGTAAACTTGAAATTGTATGAGTTTTCAGGAGCAGTTTGATGATGCTCTCTGCTGATAGAATGATGATGAGGGGCAGAGTCTGGTTCAAGTAGTAGAGGGGTAATCAGGTGTGGGGCAGAGTGAAAAGTGGTGAGAAAGAAGGAAGTTGTTGAAGTTGTATAAACGGCAAGGATCTTCTCCACCTTCACCGACCATGGCCCACTAAGAGCTCTGTGGTGATTCACAATTGGCTTACCCTATGCATTGTCAGGCATTGCATCATGTTGCGGAGAAGGTAGAGATTAGGCTTGTTTGCATTGTTTGTTGAGGTGCAGCGTCGGGGCTCTTCGCAGCTCTTCGGTCCTTGACCACAATGTTCCGACGAGTGGAAGGCAGTTAATCACGACCTGTTATTGCACCTTTCCACGCCAACCATGGAGTCTGAGCCAAATGATGAAAAGAATCCTGATACGGTGCTCAATGTTGAAGGTGGTTGTAAGCAGCCCTGCAAAATCAAATTTGGTTGGGAGGTACACCCCGCCCCGAGGCTTCAATTTTTGGTATCACTTGTTTGTGTCGACCTACGCTACGCTAACTAAACAACAGTATAACATTTGTATAATTTCCATAAAGTTGCCCCTCAGTCTAGTGCATCAATTTATATCTGTAATTACACCAATCACACGCACTAAAATTTTTGTTGATTTTTGTTTCGAACGGAGCTTCCAAGCATCCTGGTTCTCAGAGCTCAAGGTCTAGTCATAGCCGAGCAAGATCGCTATCATACCCCCTGGCGCGCTACCATTCATGTTCAACTCAGATGACGTAAACTATGGAGAGTCGCATGATCCACGTAACTTTTACGTCTATCTGACAGCTAGCGCATAATTGATGCAGAGAAATGTTGCCATGAGTTAGCATATGTCCTCACTCCTGAGCTTTGGAAAACGGAGACTAAACCGCTATCGGCGGCTTCTCCGCGATAAAAATACTGAAATGTTCTCTACATCTAAGTTCAGTTAAAATTGTAATACCGAAGAAGTTATCATACAAGAATCTGATTAAAGACAACCTACAAAATCAAACTTTCGTTCCAAATAGGATCGACCCCGACCAAAGGAGGGCAAGACTGAACACCTGTACGCGGTGTCCTCTACAAACCTGAGAGTGAAATATTCTCCCAGAGCCAGGTCCAGTCAAATTTGGCAATATCAATGAAGTTGCCCCACGAGGCAAAAATCCAAATTACTCCACCACGTCGTTTTTTCGCTCCCATCGAGTTTGATCCCTACCTAAGTCTCATCAAGCCTACAAGTGCGACCAAGTACATCCTCATACCAATGACCACACCTCCTATTGACCTTTTCTGGCCTCAGTTGACCACCAAATAGACGCCCACGCCGATATTTACACCCGCAGGAGGAAGCAAAGCGTGGCGCACAAATCTGGCAGATAGCTCTTTGAGATGGACGTGGAGGGATCAGGACAAGTTCACAGGATTATGCAAAGGAAGGATATTGCCTCGAAGGGCGTGAAATTCCGAATTTTGGCAGGAGTTTTACGAATTGGGCTTTGTGCGCGCCGAGACTTCGCTTGCGACAGTGCAGCTAACGCTATAAAGAAAGACGACGATGGAAGGTGTTGAGATCCGCCTCCTGGTGGTGTTCTCCGGTATAGTTTGAGTAGCCTGGGCACCTACTCCACTTGGGAAGGAGACATCTCAGATTACATATCGCGCGGAGAAAAGTTGAAAGATGATGGAGGCATGTCTGGATAACTCAGGGTTTTTGAGACGTTCCCCTGAGTTGGTATACACGGATGAGGGTTGACTTGGGGTGAAGAAAAAGCCGGTATAACTTCGCAGTGGTACTTGCAAATGAAATCTGAGGCATGAGTGCTCTTCCTTTACGTTGAATCATCCATTCTGTACTTTTCTTTGACATTGTTTTGTTTTGTTTTGTTTATTCTGTCCTAAGCTAAAGCTATGTTTTCCACATTGGGTCAATGACAGGCGGAGCCGGCAGGGTTTCCTGTAATCTTTCCTACAGCCTAACTCGTTCCAACCTCGTGAATCGCTGCCAAAAGTGCAGCTGATTAAACTGAAACGAAAAATCAAGAAAATCAAAACAACTCCGAAAGAACAGAAGATGCCTCCAAAATGGACACAGTCAATGTGCTCCTCAACCATTCCGTCGTCCGTCACACCTTCCAAATGACAAATCTACTTTATCTCCGCTGAGGGCAGTAGATGAGTTAGCAGGCACCTTTGGTCCAGCCGGTATCCTGCTAATAGTTAGTAGATGCCCCAGAAGGGGACATCGTCGAGGTTGCTGTGTCCTCAAACTTCTTCTTCAGATCCCAGCACTCCATACCTGTTGCCTCGGCCATTGAGACATCCTTCGCCGCGGCGACGATCGCCTCTTCGGACTTTTTTGCTACGGTTCTGGCTCGTGCCACCTTCGCGAACTTCCCTTGCTCGAGGTGGCGTATCTACGCGAGCTGCTCTTTTGTCACCGGTCCAGACTTTCTGGGTCTGCCTTGGCAGTCCCGAGAATCCGATCGATGGGGCCCCCACAGTTTCGACACTTTGTGAGGGCCCTGCACTCGACTTCCGAGTGCATATTTGATCCACAGTTCCAGCAGGCTGGAGCGCGGGAGCAACCACGAGTGGCGTGGAAGCCCAAACAGCGTTTACACTGTTCAATTTGTCGACAAGGTATGTGTATGGTAGCCCTACTAGACTCGTCGAAGAGGCGGAAGCCCGCACGTGGGGCGACTTCCCGGTCGAAAAGGGCATGCCAGTTTCGGTGCGGTGCCCCAGGTCGACACGTCCCATGAGGTCGGACGTGTATTGGTCTCGCGCCGGTCATAACGGCGACCTTGTCGAAGACCCACTCAGAATCGACCGCCATGGGTCCTCTCTCTGTGATTATACTTACAGGTACGTTGGGTATCTGTAATGCTACAAGATCTGAAGATGCCTCGAGTTTGGCGCTTTTACTCGCCAGCTTCGAAGAGCTATCTAGCATCTCTTGTCGTGTTTTTTCGTCCTTTGCTAGCATAGCAAAGCCCGTTCTCACTCGATGGAGTGAGGTTATTTCTTGGTTAAAGTAGCTGAACGCATACTCTAACTTAGTTCTCACGCTGCTTGTGGACAGTTTTCGCCACGGGTGGCCCTTTTCAAGGCGAAGGAACAGTCGCTTGTCGACTTTCGCCTTGGGTGTTTCTTTTTGTTGGGCTTTGGCCGCAGGTCGCGGCACAGCCTTTACAGTTGGGACTGCTTTTTGTTGCAGTCCGTTTCTAGCCAGCGTGGCCCAGGTGCTTTTGACGGGCAGAGCTGGGACGTTGGGTATTGTTTGGCTCCTGGCGTCGGGAGCCCTTGGGAGAGGGTTCGTCGGGCGAGGAGGGAGAACGGGTGGCGTAGTGGCCGGGCCCGTGGCCATGTATTGCGCAATGGCGGCGCGTAGGTAGACTCTCATTGAGTCTACGAATTGTCTATTTGACCCGTTGGTCAAAGGGAGGAGGGTGGCTTCGACGCCAGAGATGGCGGCGGAGCAGAGGGCCAGATTTGCCGCTATTTCGGCAGCGCGTCGTTGTTCAGCTTCGACTATTGGTCGTAGCTCAAGGGAACACTCTGCTTTCGTGGCAGTTTTTGGCTGCGACGTTGATGTTAACGCTGCTATGGGTGCAGCGTTTTCCGACGGTTTTGACACGGTCGGAGGTGGTTTGGATGATTCTCCAATCCCTTGGGGGACGGAGGGTGGTTGAGGAATTTCCTCAACGATTTCGACTGACCCGATCATGTCAGTATCGGGTTCAGTAACGGCGGGGATGGCTTTTTCCTTCCCTTTATTTGAGACCTTGCTCAACTCCGCGCATTTCGTAGACTGGGCAAGGCCAGGTACTTGTTCGAGAGCCCTCGGGTGGACTCTCGTGTTGTCCAACTTGGCGTTGGGACGCTTTTTTCGAACAGGTGGCATGGTGAAGATGCCAGTGACTCGATCACAATGATTTGATAGAATGCGACGAGCGCGAGAGGGAGGGAGAGGGGGAAAAGGTGAAGATTCGAAAATTCGAATTACAAAAAATTAGTTGTGTTTCTTTGATATTGTGTCATAGCTTTACAGCTGCATACGCAATTAAAAACTGATGCAAAAAAAAAAGAGTCTGTATACTTCCAAGTAAAGATAGGGATTGGCAATATAAGAGCATACTTATTTAAAATTGGGAAAACCAAAGAAACTTTCAAGTTTTGTAAAAAAGGGAAGCAGACTATGCAACATTTGATACTTCATTGTCACAACTATCCCAAAGAAAGAAAGAAATCATTTACTAATATAGAGCCAATAATACTCCCCATCTTGTTCCGAACAAAAATGGGGAAAGAAGTGTTGCTCAAGTTTTTAAAGGATTCAAAGTGTGTATATGCACAGAAAGGAGATTAACTAGGAACACAACAAATTGGAAATTTAATTATTGGAGCAAGCAGGAGTAAGGGAGGCTTAAGAATTTTAAATTTGCCACTGTGTAATTAATAGATAAATTATCATAGTTTTATAGCAATTACGCCCTCAGGGCTCCAAATATGCAATGAGCATGGCAGTGTAAGTGCTTGAACATGAAACACCTACACGTGACATGAATGCCAATCTAGTCTTGGCATTACTCAGCAAACACACACACCTCATGTATATAGAGCTCGTTGTAGTCATAACTATTTCTCTTTCCATAGCCAATCTTTCTTACATTCTCAAGGCTGCCTCTCTACTATTTTCATATCTGATGATTATAGCTGAATACAACATGAATTAAAAAAAAAAAAGCAGGTTGGCACTCTGAAAAATGCCAGGGCCTTTTCTCTCGGTCGCAAACGCATTTCAGATCTTCATGTTCGGTGTTGAGACGTCGATGGTAGTTGGCGTAGTCTCCGTGGCCAGTTCTTGCCGCAATTAGACAGTGGTACGCACATCTTAGTAGAGTCAGTTCCGGTGGCTGTTTGAAGCGCATGAACAGGTCCAGATCTTTGTATCGTTCCGGCCGAACTTCTGCCACCACTCTTCCACGAGTTCTTGACCCCGCATTTTTACTTGTCTCCCTAGTGCCGCAAAGGTTAAATTTCGAGATTCTCCACTGAGCATAGCTGTGGTTAGTGACCATTTGTTGAGATATGTCAAGGCCGATTTGGCCAGCTCATCGGCCTCTTCATTGCCTCTGATTCCGACATGACCAGGTATCCAGCGTATTTCCACACGCTTGTTTTGTCTCAGCAGTGAAAACTTGTCCACCACTGCCTGCGAGGAACTAGATCTTCCTCTTTTGAGCGCCCGAAAAGCCGCTTGATTGTCCAGAAGAATGCGAATCGGTAGGTCTTCTCCCACTGTTAGTGCAGCCTCCAAGGCTTTTGTGGCACCTACAACTTCCGCGTCGAATACCTCTGCTCCGGGAAGTGGACCGGAACTACTTCCAACTAGCTTGCCTCCTTGGAATACCATATACCCCCAGTATGATTTTTTGGGACCTGATGATGATCCATCAGAGAAAACGCAGGCTGTGTAAGCTGGACAGGAAGCTAACTATCGCTTTATGCTTCCAGACCTTGCTTTATTTTCTCAAATACATGGAGTCGATGCTGGGGTGCCGCGTGGGAAGTGTAGCTTTCCAGGGCCTTGGCTGTCGGAACTTAACGCACGCTCATTTGCAGGCGTATCATGTACCGTTCTAATTTTCTGAACAAGCGATTTCTTTGTCCCGATCTACAACCTAAGCATCTTGTTGTCTCTTTGAATTGTAAGATTGTTCATGCATGTTCGAACATAACCACATTTGACGACCATAGCAGTGGATTTTATTGACATTCGGTGAATAGCCAGAGAACTATTCACAATACCATCCATCTGATGACGTCATAAGATACTACGTCCCCCAATGTAGCATAGAGCGAGCGAGGATGTTTTTGATAGTACCTTCATAAGCCAAACCGGTTAAATATAATTCTAACACATGCCCTTCGCTCACATAGACTTGTCATGCAAGACTGCCCGTTTTGCTATATTGAGGCACACTTTCCACCCGCTCTCGAGGGCTCCATAGAATCGCATTCCAATACTACCGGTCTACCTGCATTCGTAGTGCTAAGCACTCCATTATGCCTAGCATTCCTAGACATTCAACCTCTCTCACCGGGCCATTTGCTTCTTACTACTAGGCAACATAGGGAGAAAGTCAGCGACTTAACAGAATTAGAAAGTTCTGAGTTGGGTGTATGGCTTTCCAGGCTAAGCCGCGTGCTTGCTACGGTGACAAATACCTGGGATTGGAATATTATCCAAAATAATGGTATGGATATTAGTCTTCTTTGGTATCTACGATAATGCTAAGCCATCAAGGTGCCGCGGCTGCTCAAGTAGTGCGTCATGTACATTTCCACATTATACCCAGGCCGGAATTGACGCCTGAGTCACGGAATAAAAGCTTTACTATGTTTGGTAGAGGATATAGAAGTGATCTTAACCATCATGAAGCAATTAAATTGACAGAGAGCTTGAAGGATGAATTGGATAGGGAAATAAGAAGACTCAAGAAACAGAGACTATAGCCTGGTGCCACTGATTGTGAATTATCTAAAGAGAACGACTATATATAATGAGAGAAGAATCTCTTACTAACTTTCATGCCTTATTTTCCCACATCCCTATATTGAATGAGGAATACAGCATGAATTTTGGTGACGCGACTTCATTTCAAGCTAGATATTGTAAACGGTCAAAATCACTTTAAGTTATATAGAAAACCTTTAGGATTTATAACTGATTTCATCATAGTGTATATTAATAGACTGAACAGGGGCATAAATTGTAAATAGGAACTAGCGTTCTAACGTAAATAGCATTGTCCCAAGAAGCATAGAACTCGGCCAGCATATTTTTGGGGCCGATGAGAACTATCAATAAAACGATACAAAAGGGGATCATGTACCTATTACCCTGAAGCCTTGAAAGTATTCTTTTCTAAAATGGTTCAGGTCGTCCGCATTTTTTCCCTTTTCTCTTTGCTTGCGCTCAAGGACAGTATCGGTCGACTCTGAGATTTCAATTCTACGGTACGTTATGAGTCGTCTAGACCACTTGGAAAAGCTTTGAGTGCAGATGCTGACAATCTGAAGATGGGGATGATGAGGGATTTTGACCTCTTGGTTCTCATCATTTGCCATCGGCATCCAGAAAGAAAGTCGTCCGTTCTCAACAAGAAAGATAGCCGCAAACTCTAGAAGGTCGTCTAGTATATCCAAGAAACCGTACGGTCTCTTCGGAGGAATGTAACTCTCCATGGTGTGATGGGCTTGGCCATTCCGAATTACAGGCTCCTTTCCTTTGTTGGGATCTCGGCTTCCAAGGACTTTTAAACCTTCACGCACTCCGTAGGGAGGGTCACAGACTATACCATCAAATAATCTAGCTTTTCTTAGAGGATTATTGGTAAGATCAGCAACAAAGGTGTCTCCAAAGTAGTTTTCTAAACTATATTGAATGAAATTTGATCGAAGAGATTTATCATACTTTCCTCGGATACTACGTCCATCAATATCACTGCCAAACGCAAAGGCGCCATAATGAGCACAGGCGATAGGAAAACTTCCCGAACCGACAAAGGGATCATAGAAGATTTTTCCAGGTCCAGCCAAAGTAAGATTAGCCGTTATTAGAGCAAGTTCAGCATCCATTGATGTTGTGCAGATATAATTTCGCTTTTTGAGGTCATACTTCTGAAGGGAGTCACGATCACCATTTCCAAGATGCCTGCCTAAATAAATCATCTCAGGCTCTTTAGAATTTGGATTTTCTGGATGCAGATTCCACTGTTCGAGTATACAAAACTCCTGGTCTGCTCCTTTCATTTTAATGGGGCCTTTAAAGTTTAGAAAGCTGAAACTATTGATGATCTGTCGCTGCTCATTTAAGGTTCGTGTTGTTTGAAAGGCATCGAAAGAGAATTTGAAGGAAGAGTACTGAAACTTCGGCCATAAATGATGCGAAAGCTTTTTGGTGGTTTCATGTACAGCCTCGTAGGTTTTCCCCTGGCCCCAAATTTCATAAACAGCTTTCGCCAACACACTTCGCTGAACAAGTCTCACTGCTGCTTCCTCAGAAGATAGTTTCACTATGCAGAATGGGGACTTTTGCAATTAGGGGCAAGTTTATGCTCGAAGTTCGCTTTAAATACTTACTTCTGGGCTGTAAGAGAGCACCTCGATATCGATATTTTCAAGAATAGCTAGCGCCTCAATCTCAGCGATTCGAAATGTTTCATGAGTTTGCGATAGTCTGATCAAATATTCCATATCGGAATATGGGGAGCGGGTGGTAACTTGGAGCAGTTATAATTCTCATCATTTTTCGTGTACGACTAAACTGCTTCTGTGAATTGCATTTAAATTAGCGCGAGTGTGTCACGCTAAGTTCCTTGACGCGTCGCCCCACTTATTCATTAATACGCCATTACAACAATTGACATTCCAACAACGGATGAGTAGTTTTCATCCTAATATGAAATTTCATGCGAGCGGTTACGTGATACATGGATCAATGGGACATCTAGATCCCAAACAGGCACCTACGAAGAGGAAACCTTATTCGGCCATATTAAAGCATACATTTATCCAAAGAGCAAGTACCATATACAATGAGTCGTGCCCTCCTACTGATAAGCTATGTAGGTAGAGCTTATGATACCTGAAGAGCTATTTTCTATAATAAGTGAAGTAGTTTTACCTCAGTTTCCCGCTCCCGCGTATAGCCGGGTTATTCTTCCGCTCAGGGCCCTATTGGAGGGGGATTTCTTCAATACTTACATAAAACTGGGTAACTCGAACATAAACTCCAAAAATTTACCATGAGTTTTTGCTTTGCAGGATTTCTGATTAATCGACAGGAAATATTTTAATGCTGTCAGAGGGTAGGATTGGAGCAGAAAACGTTTACTGTGTTAGCGATGGTTAGTCTGATCTCTCTGCTGGGGCACTAATCTCTGAGCATTAATTAGGGAAATTGAGACTACATTTAGACAGAGAGAGCTATGAAAGATGTGGACTAGCAGGAAAGCCGGATGGGGTAAAGGGAAGCCGAGGCAGGAAACCTAGATGGCGTATGACAAAACAGACTTTGTGAATGTATCACTAACCCATTACTAGTTGTTGAAATCGATCTCAGACAGCCCTCAATGTTTCGTGGAAAGAAAGGCTTCGATAGACTTGAGAATGCCTTTCAAAAAGTACTCACTAATCCAGTTACCTGGCTTTTTTGCGACCCTGATTCAGCCTGTATGTTTCGCAGATCACTTTCTACTTTTATACTGATTATATGAGCAGCTGTAATACCAGACCCTCTCGACACCCACATGCCACTAAAAAGACAAGTCGAGCCTGAAATCACTAAAGACATGACTGTCGCCATGCCCTCGCTCAATCCACCGATTTACGGGAAAGACACCACTGATTTTGAAGAGTATTCGCAAGATCTACATGAATGGTTTTCTCTAGTTATGCTGAATAGTCCTCGAATAAGCTATGAAGATACGATAGATCCAGCTCTTTCCCGATATAGACCCCCGAACAACCAGCAAAAGTGCAGGCTGGTCAAGATGGTGTGGCGAGGGTTTATCCCTCCCGCATGGGCGCATAGATTTTTAGTTCAAATAATCTCATCCAGTCCACGAAATGTATGGTTTGCACTGAGTATCACCGGATTTCCTGAGGGATTATTCAATAGGGCCAATGATTGTCTGACCTTGAGGCTTCCGGATTCCTCAAACGAGTATATTTTGTGGGAAACTAGCTAGCATTCGGTCTCCGAATCGTAAATCAGTATTAAATTTAGCCTTGCTTTTGACGAACACACCGCTCCTGATTATCTATCTCGCCTCTTATTGCTTCAGTTACTAGTTGTCGTAAGGCCTGTTGTCCACCTTCAGCCTCGAAATCTTGACGGGCGGCTAGTTCTTCGATTTTCATCTTAAATCTCTGGTCTACTACCTCGCCAAGTTCTTCTGGCGCTATGACTCCATAGTTGACCGAGAGACCTTCTGGTGGAGGTGGTAGGAAGTTTTGCTGCTGAGAGGTATCATCTAGTTGGACTCGGTCCGGCAAATACTCGAATTCTTTTGTTTTAAGGTAATCAGCGACTTCAGGAAATTCTTCTTCCTGTGTGATCTTTGCTGCGGCTGTCTGCCCTTCTCTGTTTGTGATGCTCAGGTCAGCATGCAGTTCTTCGAACAGGATCTTTGAACACTCTAAAGTTTCGACAACAAAGAGGGCAGTCTCTCCATCCTCGTCTCGGAGGTTGACATCGACTCCAAACTCAGTAACAAGTCTTCGTAAGAGATCAGAGTGATGGTAGGATGCGGCTGCATGCAGAAGAGAGTATCCATGTTCGTCCTGGATCGAAGCAAGCGATGGGGCCTTGCGCAAATTTGTAATCAACTCAGAGGGATGGTCAGCGGCGAGAAGAAACAGATTAGGAGATGCCATGGTGAAGTACTCTATATCCTCTCACCCACGACTGTTTTGCGCTCAAATTTTCCCAAGGATGCCTTAGGCAGTTTACCGAAAGCCTATGATTAGTAATCAACACCCGAATTACGTATAAGTCAATCAATTAATCTCGTGTCTGCTCTTACACCAACCAGACAAGACGTGCAAATGGTTTGTGGCACAATGCCTAGCTTATCTAAACCTAGGTTGTACAACCTGTATCCTACCTCTCTAGCAGCTTTCATCGTCTTTATTTATCTTTACAAGTCCCCACTCGATAGAAAGTTATAGGAAGCCATCCACGGTTCAAAATTATTACTCTTCGAGTAATAAAACCAAGACCACCTTCACATGCGTGGGAGCTGGGAAAATTGAGGGTATAACTTGATGTGGATAGCCCTAAAATCGACATATGGATCTAAATTTAAGTCATAACTACCCAATCGTAGTGTTCAGAGAGGCCAGACATTCGAGCACTGCAGACTTGTGTAAACATGATTGAAGCTCTCTGCTCTTCTATCCGCATTTCATCAGCGCTTCAGAAAAATTTGAAGCTGTGTTCAAATGTTAGAAAAGTCATGATCGATTATATGTAATAGATTCGTCTTAACTAACTTGTCTTTGTGGCATCAGATAGTTGGCAACGCCATGGAGTCATTGTATATAGATGCTCTTCTGGCTAGTTACTGGCTACGAATTAGCTCTGTAGGGCCTACTGACAGAACTGGAGGCTCGTATAGTGCACCACTATCAAGACTTGAGCCTTTTCCCCCCGAAATAACGACCGGTAATAATTCTTCTGCATTATGAATGGATGAAGCAATACTTCAACCTTCGGAACCATTCGTTACAATACAAAGATTTATCCTAGTGCTAGACGGACTCACCTGGCGAACTTAGAGGGAGGGGAAGAAATGTACTTGCATTAGCTTCCCTGTACCTATAATCCCTAGTATCTCTTAACTTTAATCTCCTTGTGTAACCTATTGCTACCTTGTACTATGGTTATAGCACTTCTAAAATTCTATATCGACATATAGAATATTCGTCTCATCTTTCCAAATTTTAAGCCAAAACACTATCCTGATGCCTCAAAATACTGATGACATCCGAAACTTGGCCAGAAGTCTTGAAGCAAGTCAAAGCCGTCAACATGGTAGAGAAATCATCTGGAGGAAAACTAGTTTTTTAGTAAAAACCTCGCCGCAAAATCTTAAAGCTATATCTTGGAGTCTACTAGATCGGAACTATTATCGCTATGGCCTGCCGACCTACGCTTATCCTCTAATGACGGGCAAAAATGAAAAAAATGAAGATCAAATCGTAGTCCGTGGATACAACAAGATATTCAATGTCGAGGAGATTGTCCCAACTACCTGGCTGGAGATTCAAAGGAAGACTAAAGGACCATATGAAGTCAGCGGTATAGAGGACGGCTGTACCATTTTGATCGGCGGTCTTTGGGACGGAACTCTTTTAGTCGTGAGCAAATTTCCCTGCAGCACCCAAGACGGCAGCACTGGTCCTGAAGAGGCTGGAGAGAGATGGCTGGAGAAGCAACTCGCCAAGCTCGATAAGTCTAAGAAAGACCTCGCTATAGAACTAAGGTTCAGAAATGTCACCCTCGTGGCAGAGCTGTGTGACGACAGTTTTGAGGAGCGTGTCATGTCTTATACTGGAAAAAAGGCAGGACTCTACCTTCACGGAATCAATGAGAATGTTCCAAAATTTGTAAGCTACCCGAGCGCTCAAGTACAAAAGTTTGCAAAAGAGTGGGGATTTCTAACGCAGAACTTTGTGGTATTCCAAGGAATCAAAGCTACCAGGAATTACATTGAAAATACATCAAAAGCTGGGACACACAATGGAAGGGTAGTGAAAGGGATTGTTATTCGGTGCAAGATGCTTTGGGGTAAGTTGAGTGAATATGAAGACTTTTTTTTTAAGTGCAGACTTGAAGGGCCATATCAGTTTTATCATCATTGGCGCGAGTGCACTTACGCTGCTGTCCACAACAGGTTTATTCGATATAAGAAGGGAATTTCACTCACAGAAGAATATTTGAGGTTTATTTTGGTAAAGCTTTCGAAAAATCCAGATATGATAAAAGCTTGCCAGGAGGGTCGCGGTATAATTAAGCTCCGAGAAGACTTTCTTCAAGGAAAAAATTTGAAGAGCTTTGATATCGCAAAGATAGCACAGACAAAACTTAGTTGTTCTCAATCTAATGCTACCAAAGACATTGTTCTGATGTCTATTGGCACTCTTGGATGCGGAAAGACTACCATAGCTGTCTCACTTTGTTATCTCTTTCAGTGGGGAATAGTTCAAAATAATGATATTCGGGGTAAGAATCGACCACCGCGATTTATGAAAAGAATTTTAGAACAATTAAAAGAGAAACCAGTCGTTTTCGCTGATCGAAATAATCCAGAACGACGAGAACGAAAGCAGTTTCTTGAAGACATGTCAATGACACGACCAGATGTTCGAGTTATCGCTCTCCATTATATCCATAACGGACGATCAATGAAGAATATTCGGCGAGTGACTCGAGCCAGGGTCATTTCGCGGGGTGACAACCATCAAAATATTTACGCAGCCAAAGACAAAAATAAAGTCATTTCGATTATGGAAGACTTTATTAGACGCTTCCAGCCTCTTAGAATTAAGGAAAAGCCTGATAGTGACTTTCACGCAGTGATTAATCTTGATCCCACTTTAGATTCAATCAAAAATTTACGAACCGTCATAAAGAGACTTCAGGCTTTATTTCCAAATATAATTTCCAAAGAGCCAACAAGCAAGGATTTGGAGGATGCTATCAACTACGCGATCCATGAGTATAAGCCCAACACTGAGATCCCAGCTTCAACGCTGCGGGATGAGCCTGTTAGTTATGAAAACAAAAGCGTACATTTACTGGACTAGATTATGGTACCAAATCTGCTAGATATTTAGTAACTGTAATATCACACACTCTCTAAAGAGTCAAATGAGTGAAATACTTGGTTGCATACTGATTATAACTCAAATTCTAAAGACTATCGCTACATCATTCGAATCAGTTACCTCAGATAGAGCAAGTGGCTTTTGGTAGTAGCAAAGACATCGCCAACGAGTCTGGGAGGAATTATAGGTCAAAATATTTCACCGCTCTCCTTGAAGTTATCAAGCCCAGTAACCAAAAGCTAAAAGTGTATAGATGGATATGCAAGGAAAATATCTCGATAGTTTAAATTAAGGCTGTCCAGTCTAGTATTTTCGGATAGTTTAGTATCACTTTGTCAATATAAACTTGGCTGAGTTGAATAATGGTTATATTATGTTAGACTGATGGAACATATTGATTTTAAATCTGCTTGTCGATAGAGACATGATGGGCACATCAAATTGCTAATGTTGTCTTCACTACTAGCATTGATAAATTCAGGCCCATTGAGGCCTACAAGTTAGTGGAATACTGCTTTAGGCTCGTCCTCATGAAGATTCTGGAGTCAAAATGATAAATCAAGGGTTATTTTGTTACTTAATCTATAGCTATTCTCTAGTGATCGATTTAAGGCCCTGAGTGTTCAATTTCCATCACGTCTTTACGCTTCTGTAAGACTCGTGACCGAATGGACCGGCTACCTCGCCAGAAACTTCGATACAAACTCACAAATTCTAGAAACGCTGATGATTATGTAAAGCGCTTTGCACTGTGCTAGCTTTTCAATTGAAAAGCTATCATCGCTTTATTCTAGAGTCCGGTCGTCATGACCTTGCACTACGGCTCAAGAGTGATAGCTTCCTCTGTTCTCTTCGCCCATACACCTGACACTAGTCCAGGTAAAAGAGCCTATAGTGTTATGATATGAGACAACGAAGTAGTCAAGGCTAGGGCATCGCGTGTGGCTCAAGGCTATAGTATACATCGCTAGTATACTGGTTAGGTGAGCATATATATAATTTCATAGATGTACCCATAATAAATGGATACAGGTTTAGTCTTATACTTTCTGTTTATCTACCTACAGTATATTATTGCATGAGTCTATTCACCGTGACCCACAAAATATAACTTAGTCCACTCCTCATCACTCCGCAGTATGACTTCAGCATAGCTCACAACCACAACATATAGACCCGATTTGGCGGAGGTGAAAACAGTAAAGATCGGTAGATACATGTAACAGTTATAATGTAGGAAGCTTGAGCGTTTGTATGATGGAAGGTAATTAATTAATAGGAGATCAAAGCTACTTCCGCATATCATAATTAACTCAAACCCACTACTTTACTATTCTGAAGACCAGTAGGTATCCCCCTGAAGAGCCCCCGCTGTTAAGGTGTGAGCTTTTCTTTCAGTCTGTTGCCTTCAGCTAAATATCTAAGCCCGCTATGGGTACAGAAATGGCGAAGTCAGAGGGGTCACATCACACGGGCCCAACTCATTCGAACCGCGTGAATCGTCACAAAGATTGCAATAGATTAAAATAGGGATCGAGCAACACCAAAAAACATTGCAATGGTGAAAAGAGAGAGAGGTTAATCTGAGAGGCCTCTGTAGGCGACTGGTTGAGGCATCCAATGAAGAAAGCGACCCCTGCATGAGATTTAGAGATACTGAGATAAGCCATGACTGCGATCGAACGAAAGCCACAAACTAGAGGTTAGGAGAGTGTCAAGGGCTCGGGTGTGTGGAGGAAACTGCAATTCGGCATGTCAAAGTTGGATCCTTTGGACTATCGGACTTGACATGTCTGACACATGGGTGAAGTCTGAGGTGGTCTGGTCATTCAGGTGAGTCGAGGTTTTTTGTACTTAAAGGCAGTTAACCTGATCCAGCCCGGTCCTACTCGTGCTGAAAATCCCAGAGGAGTACGGAGGGTGCCAATTGTCTGGCGCGTTAACAAACCAAACGATATCTTACAAAAAGCATTTTGCTACGAAAGCGGTATGAACAAGATGTTGATGGTATAGTAATGGATTAAAATGCCATCAATGGTAAATAGATATCACCTTGCTGTGGTCGCGTAGTGATATTGTAGTATGCAAATCGTGTGAACCAATAAAATCAAGGTTCTATGAATGAGAATTAGAGGCCCATATAGATAACTCTACCAATTAATTTGACCGAGTATCCCTCGATAACGAATACTTTCATTCCTTCGCAATAGTTAACATGCTTCCAAACTACATTAGAAGTTTGAACTCATACAATTTCAATATACTTGTAATTTTTGCTCTCTGTAAAACGTGGAGAGGATTTCGTGCGAAGGTCTTGAGAATCTTCAAAAGTTGTAGGCGAATGTATGATTAGACCAACGTCTGATTCGTGCTACGAGTCGATCGTAGCACTGTATATCTAATCATGCCCTAGCGGATCATCTCTAATCCGATATGTTTGCACGTAGATCTTTTTTAAATTTGCATGTATGGTTACACTATCGGTATAAATGGAAGAGATAGGTTTTTTTACTTTTGGTCCTAAGCTAACGCTATCTTTTCCACATTGGATCAAGGACCGGCGGATCCGGCAGGGCTTCCTGTAACTTTTCCTACAGCCTAATTCGTTCCAAGTTCATGAAGCGCTGCAAAATGTAAGGGAGACGTCTCAGATAGGTAATATCACTGGGTAGGAGTTATGATATACAGGTAGCTCGAATAAGTAAGTAGTCTCCAACAGGTAATTAAGATACAAGAACGTCGTATGCCCAATCCTACCAGCAGTAAAGCGACTAGTTATATTCTAGGTAAAAGTGAACTGGAGATTCCTTCCAACTCATACAATAGCTCAACGTAACATGAGATAAACCCTGAACTAAACCTATGTGGTAACTAACCCATTACATGGCCCACCAACACATATGCTATACGCTAATACTAGTATTTTGCAGGGGATGATGTTGATCCAGATGTATTCCCTGACACAAAAGGTGGAGCTGACTGCACATAAACGAAAACCCACGAAAATCAAAACAACTCCGAAAGACAGAAGACTCCTCCATGTTGGACCCAAGCAATGCGCTTCTTATACCTTCTTAATGACAAATTTACTCAATTTCCGCTGAGAACAAAAGATGTGTTAGCAGGCACCTTTCATACAGCTGGTATCCTGCTATTGGCTAGTAGATGCGCAAAAAGCCATCGTCGAGGTCGCTGTATCCTCTAGCCTCTTCTTCAGGTTGCATCAATCCGAGACCTGATCCCTAGGCCATCGAGACGTCCTTCGCCGCGGCGATGATCGCCTCCTCGGCCCTTTTGACTGCAGCCTGAGCTTGTGCCACCTTCGCGAACCTCCCTTGCTCTATGTGACGAATCCACGCGAGCTGCTCTTTGGTCACCGGTCCAGACTTTCTGGGTCTGGCATGGAAGCCCCAGGAATCTCGAATATATGAGCTACTCGATAACCCCACGTCGGTAATAACTCTTTGATTCTAAGTGTTCCCTCACGGCAGTCATTCTCGACCAAAACTTTTCTGATATCCTTTTATAGCACTCGGTTTGTCTTGCGGCATGAATCAGGGGAGAAGTTGGAGAGGCTGGGGGTTTTGAAAGACGCTCTCGAATATACACAGGTCTGCGCCTCCCAGCAGACCGGCCTCTTTGTACGCTTCAAGAGGGGCATTATGTCTTCGGATTTAGTCCTAACGTCGGTACAAGAAGAGCCCCGCACCCAGTGGTTTATGTGAGTTTTCCCGACTGTCATACACTCGCAAATGGCCATCGTTTCGTTGGCTTGAGAGGGGAGATAATGGAGGGCAAAGGGCCCTTCCAATCATATGATCGAACGAGGACTTGTGAGGAGTAGTACTGATTGAGGGGAGCTGTATGGGAGGCATAGGAGGGGATATACTACTGGCATAGGTATCCTTATTTGTAAGCAGAGAGAAGCTGCATGTCTTATATCGTCATAGACTCAGACAGGACAACAAATTAAATTAGGGGTGGATTGGGAAGTTGCTTTTGTAAACGACAGCTTTCATTTTCAATCTTGTCATCTGAAGATTTAAAACTGAGACATTTCGGCTATATTTTTTCACAAAACTAGAGCTAGAATTTAAACCGTGATTATCAATCTTGCTTTTCCACTCTTTTCATGGCCGGTTTGAAATTAAAAGCATAACACACAACGAAATCTATTGGAAAATAGGCGTGTGAAGCGATTTGATCTATTCCGTACCAGGGAGTCGAACCCTGCGCTACCGCGTTCAATTGAGAGGCGGAAATGTTACCGATACACCAGTACGGACATGTCTAAGGTCGATTAGTGTACACATATAAACTTACACATTGTAACATTGTTCTGTTTTGTTTTGCAAAACTCATGGCAATGTACAAGTTGAATACCATTAGAGCCTTACTTTCATATACCTGGTTCAAATAGAGACATCCCTTAAGAAAGACTTTATCAGTGTAATTCTATCCAATTGAAGGAGAATGATACTCACTCAACAGTGTTGAGCAGAAAGCTTTGTAAAAGCTTGTGGTTGTCAGAGACAGATCATATCACTTGGTGAAGCGAGTGAGAAGACAGGTCAGCATGTAGATCTGTCTTGAGGAGATTTTACCTACTCCTGCCTGGACATAGAGTGCTATGAGCATGGTTGTTTACTATTGTACGTCGTGCCAGCGCGCAACACGTTTCCCAAGGTCACATGCCGGTTGGCTCAGTCTAGAAAAACTACCTGACGTGCCGACGCTCCTAAGATCCCGGCATATACTAACCAGGCCCCGGTCTTCATATTAGTTGCCCCAAACTAAAAATACACCAAAAGCACCCTTCCTCTGGGCCTGCGGTTAACTATACCGCAGACAGAATGAAAAAACTAATCTAAATTCTGGAAAGGAGAAACAAACTACCACCGGTACAGACAGAGCTGCTATTAAGTGATTGACCTCCGCTGAATAGGTAGCATGGAACGTGTGTAAAAGCTAGGAGCGAAAATGGGTCTCTTCGAAAAACTTAGTCTTGTGGACCCACTTGCTGAAGGCGATAGCACCTTCTGGAGAGGTTAGGGTCCAGGGGACTCCAAGGTTGGGATGTCAAGGTACGCCGTGTAGTCTTGATTGGCTGCGCCCTAGCCGACAAAAGAATAAGTGGTCAGGTGACTTTTCTAGTCTGCAGCTGCAGGTCAAGAGAGCGTCTAGATGTTGGAAACGGCGGTGGTTGTCTGCAAAGTCCCCTTGCCCTGACCGTGCAGCAAGAAGCAGACCAAGTGATCGCCGGTCACAAGTACTATGAAGCTGTTTGTCTGTTTGTTGATCGTTGTTTCTCAATCTTAAAGCGACGGCTACTGTAGGTTTTTCTTTTGGGCGACTGAACAAATAAATTAAATGAAGTTTACATATACCAACTACCTCTATCTCAGGACTACTGTATAGAAGGAACTCTCTACAGGTAAAGTTTTCCACGTTAGCTCCGACCACCTTTCCTTATATGACTAATTCATGACTAATCCAAAGCTCCTTCCTGATTAGATTCGGGGTTAAATTTACTTCAAGCAGATAAGGATACCGAATGCGAGAGTATTCCTTCATTGATTAACGTGCTAGGTAACATGACACCCAACGGACTCTCACCGGAACTTAAGCACGAGTGGGGTCGGGCCAGATCAGGTTAACTATCGTAAAGTACAAGTGCCTCGTCCCACATAATTGACTGGAACCATGCCAAAACGCATCTCTGTGTTGAATAATGACGAGTTCAGCAGCCCAGAATGAAAAACAAACGAAAATCTCCACGCGAAAACCCGCTTTGCAGAAGAAAAATTTGAACATTCTCCCTTCCATCGTGCCGGCAATGACGAACTCTTCACCTTCTAGTGGTGCCGGTGTAATCGCTCAGTATGCTTTGCATACCTGGATAGCCAAGAGGAGTCGCATCCGAATCAACGTCGAAAGCAATCTCAAGCATAGCTAAAATCAACGATCTCGTCAATTTCGGACCTATCTTTCTCATGCGAGTCCTTCAACCTACTCATACTGCAAACCACCTCGCCTCAACTTTCGATAATGGCGTTACTCCAATTGCAATGGGAAATTTGTCTCATAAATAATCGGCCATTTCCAACTATAAAGTTACGATGCCATGTATACCCGTGAGGAGGAAACTAAGTCATAATATACAAGGCTCGAGTGTTGATCTATGGGGGGACCGTAGCTCTAGTGGGAATTGACCTCCCGAGGGATGAGAGAAAGCTGGGACGTGGGACGAACGAGTGAAGAGGTCATAAATGTGCATGCTGGGATGCATATTTTCCGAGTGTTTTCGAGATCAGGATGTCCGTGGGCGTAGAGGCAACGATTTCGGAAAGTGCAACCGACACTCTAAAAATAGGCAACGATGGAAGGTGTTTTGGTTCGCCTCCTGGTCGTCAACAACGCTAGTGAGAGCCTAGGTAGCTTCGACATCTACCTCACTCGAGAAAGGGAGGATCGTGAAGCCATATCTCGGGCGGTGGCTTTATACAAGATGACAAAGGCATTTTAGGGTAGCCAAAGGTTTTTCCTGTTTTCCCTTTGGTGGACATTAACGGTTGATAAAAGGATGATAGTCCCTAGGATGAAGTTCTCGAGTGGTGTAAGCGAATGCATCCATTACACGAGTGGTCCAAATGTCAAAATAAGTTATCGCCGTATATAGTCGTCGGGTAAGGACTAGCTTTCTCCGCGTCATGCTCTTTGAGGAACAGGCTTGTGCCCGTCACGAATAAAAGCAATCTATCATATCTAAACCGATCATCCAACACCCCTTCCAGTATAGTCTCAGATAACTTGTCTATCACACTACTCTAAACCCCTCAAATCGAGCAGTATGGCGGTTTTGAACCAACTATCGTCCTCTAGGTCAATCGACTCAGGCAATCACTTATAAACAAGCCTTCTTGGGATTGCTGCCGCAGTGGAGCAAACAGAAATCGAATGAAAGCAGTGAGCGAGTCTAGATCAAAAATTTTTACAAAATATCGACGCTTGGGCTTAGTATAAAGCAGGTACCGAAGGTGCGGCCTTAGCCGCGCCATTTTTTGAACAAATTTCACCTATCGTAACAGCGTTTACGATAGATAATGTCAACGCTACGAATTCCTCATGCAAGAAGTCACACCCGATATCACTCGGGCTAAACTTTAGTGCCTAGGGTGACAAAATCAGTAGGACAAGAGCCCCACAAAGACGATAAATGTCAGAGTATAGAAAGAACTTTGAAGAAAAAAATTACCAGAGAATTTCGAAGAACTTTTGCTTTAATAACTAACCAAATCAGCTACGGGTATCACAATATATATAGTAGAATTACAAGGAAGAAAATTTACTCTACACCGAGCCTGCTACAAAATTAATCGAGATCCCTGACTAGAAGAACAGTTATCCACCCACCTAGAATACCAAGTCATGTAAGAGAAAATACGAAAAAACCAAATACTGGATTTCTTTGGTAAGAATAGGATTCAAACGGAATCAATCATTGAGTCTGATTGGATCAGAAGAATGAATTCCTGCCTTAACCCAAAGATGTAGCTCAGGCAAGACGCACGCGACCATATTGGTCGAGAGAAAGAAATGCGAGTAGCTTTATTTTCAGTAGCATCTCCCTTCTTAAATTTGGAGGTCAATTTGATACAATTTACCACTGCCTTATCGGGGGCTGGTGTCACGGTTCAAGTGTTGATGCGGGAGCAATCAGATATACAAAGGTAGTTTATAATTTTCTCTATGGCACACTATCAGAGTATTACTTCAACTATTTATACATTTATGAAGATCTCTAGAATACTCGTTCTTGGCTGATATCTGCTTCTCGTATATTCCAGTCATAGTAGTTCCCAGTCTTGCTACCAATTACTAGAATATTCCAGTTACAGCTGAGCTGATCCGGAATAGAGCTAGACTACTGTAGAATTATAGAAGCATGTGAATATAATCACGTGCCACACAACAATCGGCTCACAAGCCGTTACAGCTGGGTACACTCCGGAAACCTATCGGGCAGCTCCTCCATGATCAAGAGTGGGTGATAAGTTGGGCCTCGAATTTACTATCTGAATTGATCGTGGTTAGCCTCAAGAATATAGCGCCGAGCGTTTGTGCTGAGAGATGAAGAAGATATAGACCAGGGAAGCGATTGGTAATCTTCATCGAAGTGAGGACAGTGTTACTCAAAAGTTAAAAATGGCATATAAGATATACAATTGGCACCGGAAATGTATCACGGCTAGCTAGCTGAAAACACATTGAATGATTGAAAAATACCACGAATCACAAATTGAAGATGTTTTACCAGGTCTGAAGTAGCGGAATCAATACTATGCGAGCACCTGGGCCGCATAGATTATCATAATGCTTAAACATCAAGTAAACCGCTAATTGAATTACCACGCGATTTGAATTATAATTTATCCATTAATTCGCATCTCCAATCCTAATTATCTACCACATCTCAGCGTTCAATTTCCAATTCCAATTCAAATCTCCCTTATTTCTACCAATAGAATTTCTTCTTTCACCCTTGCTCGGCCCCAAGTGACAGACGCCAAGTTATCGATAGGGTGAAGTTGACTGTTCTGCATCAACACGTCGTTGAGTGATACACGCATGTGGAGGGAAGACTCTGGTTGTTTTTATATCAGATTTGAGAAAACTCGCATGATCTGGCAGTTTGGGGCCCCTGGATTACCGAAAAACGAAGGTGTTAAATGTTTGTGATTTACAAATATTAATAGTGTATACACACATTTTCCTAAATATCCAAGAATCCGCTCCAATCAATCCATGTTAGTAAGAACATTATGGAAGCATTCAAATTGTCCAGACCGACAAGAAAATAGGTGTAAATGCTAGGCTTTTTTCTTCTATTACTTGTCACCCTTCTTTTTGGTCGTTGAATACTTACGACCATCCCAACATGATGTGTACGTCACAGTTGTCTCCATTGGCTTGCCTTTGCCTGGTGTGTGCTTGCGCTTGAAAATGGCGAACATTTCGTTTTTACTATTTAGGAATAGATAATCCATCTGTAGCGGCTTGCCTCCAGCCTCAGCCTTTGGATCCTGTAGTGGATACATGTAAATCTGCTCCCCAAAAAAATTCCAAAATCTTGAAGCTCTACACCGTTCCCCCTTCAATTGTAGAGGCCATGTATGAAATTGATTCAGTCTCTTAAACTCATCTATTGCTTTATTTTTAGATTCTTCGATTTTAGATGGCGAGTAATAGCGAAGTCCGCACGTAACCCCAAAGATACCCACCGCTTCGACTCCTATTGCTGGTCGAAAAGTTATAAGAGTCGGATTATTATTTTTGGGGTCTTTTTGGTTATCAATAAGGCCAAACCATCGACCGTCATTGCCTCTCTTTTCAATGGCCCAGACGTGAGAAAGGCTCAGACTTAAGAGAGCTAAATGTAGCTTCATATTGGTTTCCATGCACTAAAGGGAACAGCGTGAAGGAAGAAGGCTAAGGAGCGACAACGAAAACGGAATGAGAAAGGCGCGAATGAAGTGCGGCGAGGGATGTAATATGAGAGAGATAGGCACTTAGACGATATTTATATAGTCGTCAACCTTCATTTACCTTTGTCCACGAACTTGCACGAAGTCCCGCTCCATCCACTAGTTCCCATCCCGTCGCTTGGGAGGACAAGACTGAACACCTGTACGCGGTGTCCTCTACGAACCTGAGAGTGAAATATTCTCCCAGAGCCAAGTTCAGTCAAATTTCGCAATATCAAAGAAGTTGGCCCACGAGGCAAAAATTCGAATTACTCCACAATGTCAATCTTTCACTCCCAAAGAGTCCGATTCTCAACTAAACTTCATCAAGTCTACAAGTACGACATTGTACATCCTCGTTTCAATGACCACACCTCTCGTCGACTTTCTCTGGCCTCAGTTGACCACCAAATACACGCCCACGCCGATATTTACACCCGACGGAGGAAGCAATGCGTGGCGCACAAATCTGGGAGACAGTTCTTTGGGATAGACGTGAGAGGGATCAGGACAAGTTTACAAGATGATGCAGAAGAGGGATACGTTTTCGACGGGCGTGAAATTTCGAATTTTGGCATGGAGTTTAACGGATTGAGCTTTGTGCGCGCGAAGACTTCGCTTGCGAGAGTGCAGCTCACACTATAAAAACAAGTAGACGATGGAAGGTGTAGTGATCCGCCTCCTGGTGGTGTTCTCTGGTACAGTTTGAGTAGCCTGGGCACCTACTCCACTTGGGAAGGAGACACCTCAGATCACATATCGCGCGGAGAAAAGTTGAAAGGTGATGGAGGCATGTCTGGATAACTCAGAGTTTTTGAGACGTTCCCCTGGGTGTGTATTCACGGATGAGGGTTGACTTGGGGTGAAGAAAAAGCCGGCATAACTTCGCAGTGGTACTTGCAATGAAATCTGAGGCATGAGTGCTCTTCCTTTACGTTGAATCATCTATTCTGTACTTTTCTTTGATATTGTGTCATAGGTAGATAGCTGCATACGCAATTAAAATCTGATGCAAAAAAAAAAAATCTCGTCGCTTGTGTAGTAACTTCAGGCAAATCATGGTGACGGTGAACAATTGTCGAAGAAGCGTGCGACGAGTCATTATATGATGCGACCAGGGCTTTGAATGGCACTCAGTAGGAAGCATGGGTGGGATCGAGTAGAAGCCCCGAGATGCCGTCGGATTATGATAATCTGGTCATAGAGGGCGGATGCCGCTCACTCTTCCTATCTTCCATCAGAGCGAACGCGCGCTCACGTCTAGCTGCTGCTGACAATTTCTTCCCAACCCACCACGCCTATCCCAGCTAAGCTCGCAGTCAGGGCTTCCGACGATGTACTTTTGCGGGTAATCTGGTCGCATCAAAGTCTTCTGGATCCAGGCATTGCAAAATAATCTACGCCGAAATAAACGATATGCCTATGTCAACACTCACGCGCAAAGAGCGAGCTTTTGTCGAAGCTAGAGGATACGAGCCCCGTTTTCGAAGAAAGTTTTGAGAAGTGCTTGAGGTTGTGGTAAACGGGACTATGTAGTAGCCCGCGTTGTCGACACCCGCATGACTAAGCTCATTCATTTCGTCTGATTAAATTAAACGCTTGAATCGATGCGCTTCATAACCCCATCAAGCAAAACTCATTAGTCCTAGACCGAACCATTAGATGAAAGCGGAGGCATGCAGCATATCCAAATTTAAATTAGAATGTATTGGATTATGATTCCTCTAGTTAGATAGAGCAGTGTGGCTGGGAGTAGAGTTGGTAAAGGATAGGGGTGCGTTTTTTTTATCATTTAATGTGTATTCAGTTACCTAGCTATGACACATAATCGGTGCTATGTATACAAGTTGGATGACTCTTTTCACCTTACAGACACTCGTTCTCTGGATTTCATTCGCAAATACCACTATGAGGTATGCTTGCCTTCTCAGAATAGTCGACCCTCCACCGTGATTCCCACCAAAGTGACGTTCTAAAAACTTTGATTACTCAAGCATGCCTTCGTAGTCTATTTACATCAGTTCCGTATGAAATGCAGTTTTATTATGCCAGATTCAAACCAGCGATCTCCTCTGTCAAGTGGGATGTGTGTCTAAGCTATCCAGAACCTACTTAGGAGACAGGCCCGGATGATGTCTCACGGCACCCTCCATCGTTGGCATGTATTTGTTTAAAGTCATGAGACAAATCTGTAATTGTATCACGTGTCTCGCTTAGTATTCCACACTTTCCGTAATTGTGAAGTGTGTAGATAATAGTAAGAACAAGTAAATAAGCACCAATAGTTGTAGTTATAATACACACAATAAATTATATATATATTTATAATATAAGGAATCTGATTTCGAGAGCAAGTATCCACACTCAGCTAAATATATAGCTGGTATGCAGTATACTCTTAACCCCACTGTCGCATAAATTACAACAGTATTTACAGCATCATCTGCATTTTGGCCATCGAAAGCTTAGCGGGCACTATGCTCTTAAATTTGTAAGAGTCCTTGTCAAAATTCGAAAGTCACACCCGTCAAGATGATATCCTTCCTTTGCATCATCTTGTAAACTTGTCCCAATTTCTCTTATGCTTATCCCTAAGAACTTTCCACTAAATTTCCGCGCCATGATTTTTGTCTTCCTGCGGATAATCGTATTTTCGTGGGTGTATATATAGATTCAGCTTTAAGCCGGAGGCTAATTTGACGAGAAGCGTGAACATTGAAGTAAGGATGTGCTGGATCTTACTTGAAAATCTGCTGAGAATTTGGTAGGAACCGATTTTGTAAGATGGACAGATTTTTATGGTGCAGAATATCGAATCATTGCCTCGTGAGCCAACTTTATTGGTATTGCGACATTCGACTGAACATGTTTCTGAGACAATATCTCACTCCCAGGTTCGTGGACAACACTACGGGCAGTTGTTAGGCTCTATCTTCCCATCCTTCTACCGTTATTACCACTTGATTTAAATTCGTAGTAAACTTTTACTTTGCAAGATCGGCTGAGTCATCAAGACAAGGGCTCAGCAACTGTTAGATGCCACATAGGTTGTTCACTATCTCAAGATTAAGTTCCTACTTACCCCTGGACTATGAAAGACAGCTGGAGGATCCAATTAACCAGTCCCTTAATTTATTGGTTGAATTTTCAATAGAAATATCACAATCATGTGCCAGTTGATCTTGAGGGCCATGCCCCAGGAGAGATGCAGTAAAAATATGGTCATCCAAATTATTTAGGTTTTGAACAGCTTAGGTGTTGTTCGCTGTTTAATATTTTCCCATCAGATCCCGTCGCCTGATTTGGTGGATAACAGGGCCGCTGATATTCCAATTCAGTAATGACTTCGTTTTAAAGCCCTCTTTGTTTCCAAAGGATAAACATAGAACTGATTTTATGAGCCGCTCAAAGGATACTAGGAATTAAGTTCATGAAAAGACAAGGCATAAAGAGGGGCTGCAGAAACATTACGCCCTTGGACAAAGAGTATCTGACTACAGCTTATGCTGTTACAGCGCATAGATTATAGTGTAGCCCGAAATGCGACCCATAATATCGGGAGAAATGATTGGTGCCCACTTTTTCAAACGATAACAAACAAATTGATCAAGTAAATACTCAGCCGTCATTCGTAACAATGCAACATTCCATCATGGTTCTAGATGTGCTCACCTGGACTCTACCAGGACAGGAGCAGAATTACCCTTACCGTAATTATTCAATGATTATCACTTAAAGTACTTCAGAATCAACCTTTCTCGAGTTAACTGTCGCTTCTTCAAGGAATATCGATCACCAATTTTAAAAGTCCACACTGAGCGCTGGAATATTCCTGATCTTATCTTTCTAAGCATTAACCCATCTCACTGTCCCGATGACTCAAAATACCGATGAAGTCTGGGACTTGGCTAGGCGTCTTGAAGCGACTCAGGACTACCAGTTTTACAATCCGGACAACTGCAAGAAGACAGATTATCGTCGGCGAGAGATACCACAGCACTTCAATATAAGTCACTGGAAGTTTCAGGATAAATTTTATCAGAATTTGGGCCTACCAATTTACGCCTATCCTCTCTTGATGGGTAAAGATGATATATATCATGATCAAATCGTTATTCGTGGATACAACAAGTTTTTTTATGTTGATAAAACTGCCCGAACTTCTTGGAAGAGCATCGAAGATAACACCAAAGGACCATATGAAGTCAGCGGTATAGAGGACGGCTGTACCATTTTGATCGGCGGTCTTTGGGACGGAACTCTTTTAGTCGTGAGCAAATTTCCCTGCAGCACCCAAGACGGCAGCACTGGTCCTGAAGAGGCTGGAGAGAGATGGCTGAAGAAGCAACTCGCCAAGCTCGATAAGTCTAAGGAAGACCTCGCTATAGAACTAAGGTTCAGAAATGTCACCCTCGTGGCAGAGCTGTGTGACGACAGTTTTGAGGAGCGTGTCATGTCTTATACTGGAAAAAAGGCAGGACTCTACCTTCACGGAATCAATGAGAATGTTCCAAAATTTGTAAGCTACCCGAGCGCTCAAGTACAAAAGTTTGCAAAAGAGTGGGGATTTCTAACGGAGAACGTTGTGGTATTTCAAGGAATCAAAGCTGCCAGGAGCTCTCTTGAAAATGCATCAAAAGCTGGGACATACAATGGAAGGGCAGTTAAAGGGATTGTTATTCGGTGCAAGATGCTTTGGGGTAAGTCAAATGAATACGAAGACTTTTTTTTCAAGTACAAACTTGGAGGGCTATATCAGATATATCATCAATGGTGTGAGTACACCAAAGCCATGATAAAGTCTCAGTACGTCCCTAGAAATAATGACATGATGACACATGAATACCTCGAGTTCGCTAAAAAAAAACTCCTTCAGGACCCAGAGCTGGGAAGGGCTTACTTGAATAATCATGGAGTCATAAGATTTAGAGAAGAGTTTGTAAGGGAAAAAAAGATTTCGGGCTTCAGTATCTTAAAGAGAAGTCTAGTAGTTCGGAAGTTATTATTAAAAGATGTCGTTGATAACATCATCTTAGTGCCCATAAGCACTATTGGTTGCGGAAAGACAACAGTTTCCCTTTCGCTCTCTTTCCTCTTTGGCTGGGGATGTGTCGGGAACAATACTATTGAAGCTCGAAATCGGCCATATAAATTTGCCGAGAAGGTACTGGAGGAACTAACGAAAAAGCCGGTTGTTTTTGCTGATAGAAATAATGTACAAAAGTTCCAGCGAAATCAACTGATCCTCCATTTTTTAAGAAAAAGACGACAAGCTCGGATGATTGCACTGAACTTTGTGAATAATGAAGCATCACTTGAAAATATTCGAAAAGTCACTCTAGACCGTATACTTCCGCGGATTGAAAACGATCAGGGATCGGACACAGGGCTACAAAAAGATCGGGCAGTCGATATAATGGATGACTTTATCGAACGATTTGAAAAACTAGATATATTGGGCTGGCCGGATCGTAATTTTGATGCTGTGATTGATCTCAATCCAACCCTTGATTCTAGGGCCAACTTGGAGATATTAGTAGAAGGGCTACGAAGCATATTTCCCAAGCTCATCACAAAAGTACCAACTAAGGAAGAACTTGACGTAGCATTCTCATCTGCCCTCAATAAATCAAATGAAAAAACGAAGTCCACGTTTCCGGAAAGATTCATTGAGTTGCCGCACGGCATGGGTCAAAATTCAGACGCAACACATGTTGCGAATTTCCCAAATATAAAATCCCCTCATTCAACACAAGTTGAGAATTCATAATAATATGACGCTAGGAGAGTCCGCATTGAGAATACGGCGGAAATTTGACATTTTTTTTTTGTGGGAAGGAGGAATATTTTAAAGATGAAATAGTTGTGTAGCATAGTTATGGCAAGATCTAGTACTTCAATATTCAATGAATAAAAATAAATTTCTTGCATTATGTCCCAATCATGACATTTCAAGGTAATTCGAGGGCAAGCGCTATACAGTGTGAAAGGATGGCACCAGAGTGAATAGTTGTCCGCACGAGTGTATCCAAAATGGGTTTATTTTGTGTCTAGAGAGAAAAACTACATACTTGTGCGATCACCCCCTAGATGTTGTCTCGCTTATCGCTGACATAATCAACTCCTAGGAGCCGGATAAACTCCGGATCCCATCTACAAGGCAATAGCCTGTAACGTACAGAATACCTATACCAGAGATTCTGCTAGTTGGATGAACCCTTGAGTTGCGATATTTCTAGATCACATGCATGAACTTTTCAAATAGCAATGATTTATGATTTTTGTCCTTAAAAACTACTGAAAATGACTTGAATAAATGGGTAATCATGAAATTGAGACTTATCGGGCTCATATTAAGCTTTTGGGGACTAAAAACACGGTACGCTCAGCTTCTAAGCGTGAAGATAGATGAATTTGTGATGAGCGATCAACAATTGTTACGATTTGACCGTTGTTTGAGCTTAGGTGGATACCTAAGCGTATGGTTGAGGATTCATGTTATAAGACTAAGAGGAAATTATAGGGAAAGCTGGAAGTTACGGCACTACTAGCCAAGGGGCGAGATCAGGAGTACGAAGGCTGAACACCTGTTAGTGGTGTCCTCTACGAACCTGGGAGTGAAATATTCTCCCAGAGCCAAGCTCAGTCAAACTTCGCAATATCATAGATGTAGGCCCACGAGGCAAAATTTCAAATTACTCCACAATGTCAATCTTTCGCTCCCAACGAGTTTGACTCCTAAGTCTCATCAAGTCTACAAGTACGACCTATTACATCCTCATTCCAATCATCACACCTCTTGTCGACCTTCTCTGGCCTCAGTTGACCACCAAATACACGCCCACGCCGATATTTATACCCGACGGAGGAAGCAAAGCGTGGCGCACAAATCTGGGAGATAGCTCTTTGAGATGGACGTGGAGGGATCAGGACAAGTTAACAAGATGATGCGAAGGAAGGATGTAGCCTTGAAGGGCGTGAAATCTCGAACTTTGGCAAGAGTTTTACGAATTGGGCTTTGTGCGCGCCGAGACTTCGCCTGCGAGAGTGCAGCTCACACTATAAAAGCAAGCCGACGATGGAAGGTGTTGTAATCTGCCTCCTGGTGGTGTTCTCTGGTATAGTTTGAGTAGCCTGGGCACCTACTCCATTTGGGAAGGAGACATCTCAGATTACATATCGCGCGGAGAAAAGTTGAAAGGTGATGGAGGCATGTCTGGATAACTCAGGGTTTTTGAGACGTTCCCCTGGGTGTGTATTCACGGATGAGGGTTGACTTGGGGTGAAGAAAAAGCCGGCATAACTTCGCAGTGGTACTTGCAAATAAAATCTGAGGCATGAGTGCTCCTCTTGTAAATTGAGTCATAGCTAGATAGCTGCATACGCAATTAAAATCTGATGCAAAAATAAAAATAAAACATAGATAGATAATGTAAAAACTAAACACCTCTAACCAAATTATAAGTGTAGAAAAAACTAAAAACTTCACCAATCCTAACATTTCGTCTCTGATCCTGAAATCCTTAATATCTAACAGTCCATACAGTACTGGCTTGACGGTCAACGTTCACTTCTATCGTTCCAGATAGCTCCAGTTCGTTAGTAAATCTTTCATTTCCAATCTTATCAAATCTATGTTAAAACTACATATGGCATTATGACAGAAGCAGTTATATACGCTTTGTGTTATTATTTGTAATTACGCAATACGGAGTCGAACCTTGCGCTACCGCGTTCAGCTGAGAGGCGGAAATGTTACCGATACACCAGTACGGACATATCTGTGTTTGATGAATGTACAATATAACCTTACACATTGTGACATAATTCTGTTTTATTTTATAAGGTTTATAGCAATGTACAAGTTGAATACCATTAGAGCCTTACTTTAATCTACCTGGGATAAATAGAGACATATCTTCCGACAGACTTAACCAGCCTAAGTGTAATCAATTGAAGGAGAAAGATCCTAACTCAGTAGTGTTGAGCGGAAAGCTTGTGGCAGTCAGATACAGTCAGGTAACTAGGAGCCTGACCTGTGATAGGCGAAGTGTATGTAATGAAAGTAAAAGGTAACTCAGTAAAAACAACTTGATTCTTATTTCTCCCGGAATTCTAGGACTATATACACTGATCATGATTGACTTGATCTCTAGATATAGACATGCGCTAGGAATAGAATAAGCTGCGGCTCTAGATACAGAATGCAAGCACTGACCGAAATAAACAACCCACGTACGTATGGACAGTTTCTATTTTTGACCCGAGACATTTCCCTGTCCAACTTCTTCGATGGTTATTCTTAACATTCGACAGATATAGATTATATCACTTGGTGAAGAGATATTACCTACTTCCGCCTGGACTCAGAGTGCTATGAAGCTGTCCGTCTGTTTGTTCAATAACGTGCTAGGCAACATGACACCCAACGCACTCCTATGGGAGCTTAATCACAAGTGGGGCCGGACTGGATCAGGTTAGCTAACATTAAGTACAAGTGCCTTGTCCCACCTGAATGACCGGCCATCTCAGACTTCACCCATGTGTTGAATCATGTCAAGCCACACCGTCCAGAGAACCCCCTTTTGACGCGACTGAGAGCTCAAGACTGAGGCCACCAAACTCGAGGGTGCAAAAGATAGTGTTGGGAGGGTTACTGAGTAACATAATAAAATCTGGGAGCTTGGCAAGAGTCAAAAGTATGAATTCGTAACTCTAACTTTAACAAAGGACGAGGGATGGGGGAAACTAGGACAGGAGACAAGGCCAATGGGAGACGGAAGACAAGACGTGGCCCTCTACATCGACTCCGTCCAGTCCATATATACATCATAGTAACCAGAGCAATCTAGGCCTCATAGGGTACACCTTCTACTACTAAATTACCCAATTCGTAACCCAGTAATAATTCTTAGGTGAGTAAATACTCGCAGACTGTGTCAGGAATGAATTAGGGGGGTGCTGCTCTATCCTCAGTTCCTGACAGAAGCACCGGTGACCCGGCCTTTGTCGAACGCTCTAGTTGGTGTGCCGGCTAAATGTCGTAAGCATTTCGTCGGTGGCGATTCGTCGTAGGTCGAGTTGGTGTCCTTGGTCGAGGTGAGGACGCATTTAAGGCCGGTATTTCGACCGTACCTTCACAGCGACTGGCAATTGCGTAGGGTCAGACATCCTCTTGCTTCTTTATTGGCGATTTGGCTTTTGGAGGTATGGGATTGCTTAGGTAGGTGGTGAGATGATTCTTGAGAGGGCCGCGAGATGAGTTTGGCTAGGAATGATTTTCCAGAGAAAAAAAAATAGATCTTATAGGTGTCGGTTGTTGTAATGCGAACATCAGACAGGTTATAGGCTGTCTGCGGTTCGTACCTGGGGTGTAGATGGTTGATTTCGTTGAGTTGTGCAGTCGTGAAATCTCTGCAAGTCGGATTTTCGACAAAAAATGAGCCAATACCACTCCTCCCAATGGCCAACTCGAAAACTCTCAAATTCACCCTTTGTCGTGACTGAATCTCGGCTCTAGAAGAATATTTCACTCCCAGGTTCGTAGAGGACACCACTGACAGGTATTCAGCCTTCGTCTATTGAAGGGTGGTGATGTGTATGGTTGTATATACTTGGTATCTTCAATTAGATGGTTGTGACTACACAGGGGGCTTAGAATATACTTGGGTGATTATGGCAATAAATGTTACGAGATGCGAATGGTATCTTATTGTGTTATGTCATGTTACAGGTTATCTACATGATGATTAACCAATCCCACAGGAGGGCAAGACTGAACACTTGTACGCGGTGTCCTCTACGAACCTGGAAGTGAAATATTCTCCCAGAGCCAAGTTCAGTCAAATTTCGCAATATCAAAAAAGTTGGTCCACGAGGCAAAATTTCAAGTTACTCCTCCACGTCGTTTTTTCGCTCCCATCGAGTTTGACTCCTACCTAAGTCTCATCAAGCCTACAAGTACGACCAAGTACATCCTCATCCCAGTGACCACACCTACTATCGACCTTCTCTGGCCTCAGTTGACCACCAAATACACGCCCACGCCGATATTTACACCCGACGGAGGAAGCAATGCGTGGCGCACAAATCTGGGAGACAGTTCTTTGGGATAGACGTGAGAGGGATCAGGACAAGTTTACAAGATGATGCAGAAGAGGGATACGTTTTCGACGGGCGTGAAATTTCGAATTTTGGCATGGAGTTTAACGGATTGAGCTTTGTGCGCGCGAAGACTTCGCTTGCGAGAGTGCAGCTCACACTATAAAAACAAGCAGACGATGGAAGGTGTAGTGATCCGCCTCCTGGTGGTGTTCTCTGGTACAGTTTGAGTAGCCTGGGCACCTACTCCACTTGGGAAGGAGACATCTCAGATTACATATCGCGCGGAGAAAAGTTGAAAGGTGATGGAGGCATGTCTGGATAACTCAGAGTTTTTGAGACGTTCCCCTGGGTGTGTATTCACGGATGAGGGTTGACTCGGGGTGAAGAAAAAGCCGGCATAACTTCGCAGTGGTACTTGCAAATAAAATCTGAGGCATGAGTGCTCCTCTTGTAATTTGAGTCATAGCTAGATAGCTGCATACGCAATTAAAATCCGATGCAAAAAAAAGGGTCACTGTACTCCCTGAAGGATAAATTGCAAACTCCAAGAATTAAATCAGAAAGCTGGGGAGGTTTACACCGAGTGGTTTCCTCCTATGTAAATATATAGATAGGTTTATAGCCACCAGCATGGGCCCATAGGGCGCCAAGTCAGGATAATTAACA